ATTTTAGACTATTTATCTTACCACAAAATATTTTAGAAAATTATTTATTCATAATTTTCTTAGAATTTCACCATTGATTAAAGATTTTCTCTTATTTCCTTAATTTATTATATTTTAATGAAGAAAACAAAATTATGCAAAATGGAATTAAATTCATTAATAATTTTTAGTTTATTATTATTGTGAGTGTTCCTTAAAAATATCTTATTTCAGTTTCCTTCTAAAATTTTCATCATTTTGATAAAATTTAAAAAGATTTTTTCACTTTAAATTTTTTTTGAAAATCATACATTTGTGAATTTCACTTATCCTTTTTTTTTATTTATGATTATTATTTACTTATCTTAGACTTTAATTCTCACGTGCTAACAAAAATATAATGATGCAAAGTAAATTAATTTTTCCTATTTAAATTTCCTTAAAGCCCTTTTTTTCATTTTTTTTCATCTATTTTATTTATTTTTATTATTAAAAATAATGTCAATTCTATCAATTCTTGAGAAAACATTAACATAAATGTAAATATAACAATAATATGAAAATAAAATAGACAATAAATAAATAAACAATTTACAACTAATTTAGGTTTGGTCGAATCAATAAAGATCCAAAAAAATTAGGCTTGAAAGTGTGGACTTAGGCCTTGATCTTGGTTCACTTCAGGTGTTGGTAACTAGCTTGGGTTGGCAAGTATAGCATGTCAAGTCACTAAATTTTTTTTGTTAGAATCAATAAAAAAACTAGGGTAGTATTTGGTTCAAGAAAATAAATATGTTTTCTATTTTTATTTTTATAGAAAATAGAAAATGTAGATGAAAACATGTTTGGTTGAAAAAATAGAAAACAAATTTTGGAAAATAAGAATGAAAATGGGCCAAAATTAGAGGACAAAAAAAGATGTTTTGAGCATTTAAAAAAATATAAAAAAAATTGGAAAATATGAAAACGTGGGTTTTGTAAACATTTTTTAAGTATTAATTGCAAACTCAATAAACACCCAAGTTCGATTCATAATAAATGTAAAAGTTCACTGTAAACATTTTAGCGAGAAACTTGTTCTAACATCCTTTTAAATAAAAGTTCAAGAAGCATGAACTCTCTAACCACCTAGTTTGAGCTTTCAAATAAGATGGGTATTTATGAGCCCATCCACTAGATTGGCATGTGGGGAGAAAATTTTAAGGGTAATGTTAATCCACATATATCTGCATCAATGATTGTCGAAGCAGATAAGAAAATAGAGAAGGATCTGAGACTACTGCACATGAAATGCTTGCACTTTTCTAATAAGTATGACCAAGAAACAACTAAACCTATTGATAAGATACAAAGACGGCTTGCACAAAACCATGAGGCTATTTGTAAAAGCCATTTGCGAAAAAAAAGCATTTGTTCAACAATAAGAAAATAGTCATTTAAAATTGATTCAGTTGGAGCAAAAGCTTGAACGAATGACGCAACAGGGTTTTTATATGGTGGTGGGTTAGAAAATGGTCATCTTGGATTCTCTGGAACAGTAAACTCAAGGATTGCTGCATTTGAAATGGAATACGAACATTGGATGGAAGAACAAAACAAACAAATATGTGAACTGAATATCACTTTGAACGCCCATATAAGCGATATAGAGCTTGGCATACTAGTGGAAAGTGGCTTGAGCCACTATTTTGAACTTTTTCGCATGAAATCAATATTACAAAGGCTAATTTTTTTATGTGATGTCTGGCACGTGGAAAATATCAGTTGAACGATTGGTCATGTCAGAAATTGGTTAGATAATGTTATGCTTTATAGCTTTTGCCCTTTGAGCTTTAGTGGTATGGTAGAATTTGTATGTTTTTCTTAATGCTAATTTGTTTAACTTTTGATACTTTATTTAATTCCTGATTTTAATTATTTAGTTATTATTTTTATTTTTTTTGAAAATGTAAATATCAAACACATTTTCGTAATTTTATTTTTGAAAATAATTTTTCATTTTCATGTATCAAACATATTTTTTAAAATTCAAAAATTACAAAATGAAAATTATTTTTAAAAAATAAAATAGAAAATGACAAAAAAATATTTTCTACAACCAAACATGACTTAAAATTTGTATTTTTAATTCATTTCCATCTTTTACTTTCTCTCTCTAAATTTCTCCCTCACTCTAACTTTCTCAACTCTTTCAAGCCTTCAAACAATTTCCACAAATCGACCACCAGTCATTGCTCTTTGTGCCAATTACCATTCACAAGTGTCAGTTTTTTAGGAAATTACATGGAAACCTTCCTCATTTCCTCATTCTTTTACTTTTCCAATTGGTTTTCCTAAATCACAAGTGGATTTTTCGAGATCAAAGTCAAAACTTATGGCTATCAATACCCAAAATCTCTTCTTTCATCACTCCAAACACTACTGCCCATCGATATGTTCTTTCTCTAGCTTCAGGCTCCCTCACCTCTGAAAATCAAGACTTAAAACTCTTTAGAATACCCCTAAACCAAAACCTGATTTTTTTAAAAATATTTTGTGGCTTTTTTTTAGAAGAATGTAGCCTTTTTTATGTTAAGTTATTTTGTTTTATGATGGGTTTTCTGGTGGTTGAGTTTGGGTAATAGGTTTTTTTTACAATGGGTATGATGTGGGTGGTTATGGCTGGCGAGTAAGTATTATTATGGTGTTTTGGGTGTTGATTGTTGGTGGTATAGGTTTTCATGGGTGGTTACTAAAAGCAAGGATGGCTTAGGATAGTTATGTTGCTTGGGTCTAGGTTAGGCTCGAGGTGATAATTTTGGGTTATGTGGTGGTAATTTGAGATGGTGGCTAAGGTTGGTAATGGTGGTAGGGGATGGTTTTTTTATCTGATAATAGATTTTTAACAAGGATTTTACTTGTAAAAATTGCCTCTTATGTAGTCTGTTTTCATACTCAAATTATATAGTCAATTAAAAGTTCAAATCTTATATTTTATGGAATTGTGGAAGACTTATAAGGTTCTACTAGTGACTTTTTGTCTTAGATTTAAAAAGTTCATTATCACTTTAATTCATTTTGTAAACCAATGTGCCGTGAAGGTAATTATAATCATTGAGTCAAATTTAATAAGTTTGGTTGATGTCAAACTAAATATGTATTTAGTTCTTGAATTTTATATTTTCTGTCATATTGGTATCTAAATAATTTTTTCGTCATATTAGTATCTGAACCTTCAAATCTGTTATTATCCTTGGTTAATTTTATTGACTTGATATCAACATCTAATAAGATGTCGATACATGTCAAAAAAGTCTAATCAACTCCAAATCATTAATGTCAAGGCAACATAAAAAAAAATTAAAAAAATATAAAAATTCTAACAAAAATTTTAAACAATTTTTAAAAATTCAAAAAGAATTAAAAAAATTCTCAAAAAATATTAAAAATTTTAAAATTTCTAAAATATTTTAGAAACCTAAACAAATTCAACACAATTTTAAAAAATTATAAAAAATTCTATAAAAATTATAAAAAATTTTTAAAAAATTTTAAAATTTATAAAAAATTTTTAATTTCAAAAAATTATCAAAAAATACTAAAAAAGTTTTAAAAATTTCTAAAATTTTTTAAATGTTCAAAATATTTTCTAAAAATGTATCAAAAAATTTAAAAAATTCTAAATTTTTTGAAAAATTATAAAAAATTACAAGTATGAAATATTTGTATAATTATAAAATTATCATAATTTGAAAATTTTAAAAAATTCTGAAAATTTTTTAAACAATCAAAAACTTCAAATTTATAAAAATTAAATTTTCTTAAAGTTTAAAAAAAATCACAAAGCTTAAAAAAACTGAAAATAAGAAAAAATCTAAAAAGTTTTGAAAATTTTTGAAAAATTAAATAATTTCAAAATTTTGAAACATTCCTTAAAATAAAAAAAATCTAAAAAATAAAAAACTTAAAAATTTAATAAAAATGTGAAAAAGTTAGAAACAACTTAAGAATTCAAAAAAAGGAAATTGTATGATTAAAAAATATGAAAAAATTTTAGAATTTTTTCAAATTTAAAAAAAATTTAAAAATCATTATATTTTTTTCAAAAAAATTTTGTTTTCTGATTTTAGCTTTTTTAAGCTTTTGTTAGTTTTTTTGAATTTTAACAAAATTTTAAAATTTATTAAAATCATCAATTTTTTTTTCAATTTTTTTGCATTTTTTTTAAATTTGGAAAATTTTTGAAAAATTTTAACTTTCCTTAATCCTTTTTGAATTTTTTTAAATTTTCTAGAATTGTAAGAAATTTTTTTAAAATTTTTAGAATCTTCAAAATTTTTTTCAGAATTTCTAAATTTTTTTCAGAATTTTTTTATTTTTTAAAAGTTTAAATTTTTTTTAAAAAATTTTATAATATTTTAAAAATTTTTCAGAAGTTTTTAATTTTTAAAATTTTTTTGAATTTTCTAAATTTTTTTTTTGAAATTATGTTAGAATTTTTGAAAAATTTAGAGTTTTTAAAATTTTTTAAGAATTTTTTTATAATTTTGAAAATTTTTTTGACATTTTTGAAAAAATTTATAATTTTTTAGATCGTTGTTTTGAATTTTTAAATCTTTTTAGTATTTTGTAGGATTTCTTGAAATTCTTTTGAATTTTTTGAGATTTTTTAAACTTTTTAAAATTATTTTGAATTTTTAAAAATTTGATAGAATTTTTAAAATTTATGTAGAATTTAAAAAACATTTTTTTGGTAATTTTCTTTTAATGAAGATGTAACATTAATGGCATGGTACTCTTTGAACTTTTTAATATATATCAATATCTTATTAAATATTAATGATGCATCAATAACGTTAATTAGTGATATTAAATTAAAATACCAACATAATAACAAATTTAAAAATTTAAATACTAATGTAAAAGAAAATTTTTTAAGTATCAATATATTAAAAATAATAAAATTCAAAAATCAAATATGTATTTAATTCTCTTAAAAACTTGTTAATTTATCTTTAGGTCAAACTGGGCTCAACTTCCAAACTCGAAAACATCGTCTAATGTCCAACTGGTCTGGGCTCTACTTCAAAAATAACAATAATAAAAAAATTGTGCTGCAAAAAAACCCCTCTAGCCTCTGCTGTCTTGGCTGTTCCCTACTCTCTTTTCACTTGCATTAGGTGGTGAGAGAAAAAAAAAAAAACCTTTTTCAATCTCTTTGATAGAAATAGAAAACGAAGCCGAAAAATTTAAGAAAAGAAACGAACAAGAGTGAGAGAAATGGGAATAAAAGGAATAGTAAAGAAAGCAATGGAGTTGGGAGAGATGGGATTCAACAAAGAAGGTGGAGCCATTAACTGGTTCCCAGGCCACATGGCCGCCGCCACCCGCGCCATCCGTAACCGCCTCAAGCTCTCCGACCTCGTCATCGAAGTCCGCGACGCCCGTGTCTGTACAAGATATATTCATTATGTTATATCATCTGCTACTACTTTTCCTTATCATTTTATTTCAAAATAATTCTACTAATTTTTTAAAATTATTTGCAGATTCCCTTTTCCTCTGCTCATCAAGACTTGCAGCCTCAGCTTTCTGCTAAAAGACGCATCGTTGCTCTCAATAAGAAAGATTTAGCCAACTCCAATGTCCTCAATGTTCGTATATATTCTTTCAATTCTTTGAAGTTCCCTGTAAAATTAAAACTTCACTATTCAATCATGTGGTGTCTTATGTTAATTCACTGTGTTAATTTTATGTTCTTTGTAAATATGATGCTTACTGGGTATTATTATTTTCTGTAGAAATGGGTCCGTTATTTTGATTCGTGTAAGCAAGATTGCCTTCCTATAAATGCACATAACAGAAGTTCCATTAGAAAGGTTAGTTGATGCTCAGCACTGTTGAATTTTAATTCCTTGTGGAATTATTTCAGGTTGCAATTTTTTTTCGAACTTGGTTGATAAAGAAATCATTTTAGTGATTACTAATTGAATATTGATGTGCTGCTTTATTTTGCAGTCTTATCATCATTGCTGAACTTGATTGTTAGTATGCTCGTGATGGTTTAACCTAGAATCAAGAACATCAACAAGATTTTCTGACTAAAAGTTGGAAATTAATCTTTTAGGTTAGCATAATTAGTTTGTGAAGGTTGTGTCTTGATTGATATGATTATAATTTATCAAATGATCTTTTTATGAGCTTTAAGACTTGAAAAGATATATATAATGGAAAAAAGGTAGATTTGTGCTTAGACGTAGGGGCCTTATACTGCATGCGCGGAAGTTTTGCCTCTCCTAGTGAGAACTGGAGAAGGAAACAATAGGAGAAAGAGGTTTCCATGGGATGAAGTATTATAAAATAAGTTATGAATATGTGTATCTTGATATGAAGCTACAAATTTATCTGTTTAGGTTGGGAATTTTGTGATACCATGTAGTTAATTGAACTGCCTTATTTGTTTTAGAGGAAAAAGAAAGAAGGAAAGCATAAACCTGCTTTGTTGGGCATTCATCACTTGAGCTGATAGTTTGGTTGAAGTTTATACTGTAAAGGGATGGTTCTATGCCCATTGTCTCTCTCTTTCTCTCTGATAATGTCATTCCAAGTAAATGTAGCATGCTATTGTCCGAGAATTGTATCTAATTAGATTAGGCAAGATAACAAATCTGTTATTAAGTTCTCACTTTCGCTCTTCCCTCCTATGATATGGATAGTAACGGAGTATAGAGGCCTTAAGAAGGTCAAATCAATTGTTCAATATGCTAATTTTCTTTTCCCATCTGTTTATTAAACTAACACAAGTACCTTTTACCTTTTTCAGTTGTGTTGATTTAGAAGAATATGAAATAGTGTGCTTAATATAGTTGACTATGTTTGTTGGTCAATAAATCTTGCTATTTATAGTAAGTTTTGATATTGTATCTCCTATATGAATGGTTGCATATGTAGTTATCTGTACAGTATTTGAGTGATGTCTAAATACTGTTTCTTCACATCTGTCTCCAGTTTCATTTATGCATTGCTATAGCATAAATTATTCTTTAGCACTCTCCTTATTCCCCTTTTACGGTTCATGTACATTAGCTTCTTGAGCTTGTGGAGTTCAAATTAAAGGAAGTGATTTCGAGAGAACCTACTCTCCTTGTAATGGTGGTTGGTGTTCCTAATGTGGGGAAATCAGCTTTGATTAATTCAATCCATCAAATTGCATCAACCCGTTTTCCTGGTAAGATGTGGTCTTTTAGGTGTGATATTAAGATAAAATTGCAATGAGCTTGGAAATTGATTAATCCAAGTCCATTGACCTTGAGCAATAATAGCATGGAGTTTTATGCATAGTGCAGGAGAAGATGAAACGAGCCACTGTGGGCCCATTGCCAGGTGTTACTCAAGATATTGCTGGGTACAAGGTCAAGTGTCCTACTTTTCTCCCATCTCTCTGTCTCTCTTGTTGGTACATGCCCTTATCCAACAAACCCAGAAACAAGCCGGAGTTGGCTAAATTATGGCAAAGCAATACCATGTCTTCTGTTTGTCTTCTTAGTGAACTCCATTTTATCATGTTCTTTTTCTAGTCTGGTTGTAACTAGTAAGTCTAGCCTTGGATTAGTAGCCCAATATGGCTTGCAAATATGACTTCAACTCAAGGTACCTTGTAAGTTTGGGCTCATGAATCATTTTTTCATGTCAAAATCAGGTCAGACTGTTGAAGCCAATTAATGAATTTGTCATTTTGGGTTGACGTGAAATTGACTCCATGATGGCAGGTTGACTTGTTTATGTATATAACCTATTTATGATCCATTTAACAACCGAGTAAAAGTTCAATTTTTATCTTCTTTCATTTATAAAAAATATATTGATACCAAGTAAATTGTAAAGTCATAAGATGCTTTTTTTTAATTATGTTAGAAAGTTATGATAATTATTGTCACTACTATCAACTGATTATGACATTTTTATTAAATGGTATATAAGCCATGTTAAAACTTTGTAGCAAGAGTTATCCTCATGTTGAGTATTAACTTGATTAATGAATAAGTCAATCTTTCATCGATTTTAGTTGTATATTTCACCGTTGAAATGACACAAACGTGTCCTTCCAACACAAATTGCCACCTTGCTCTAGCTATTAATTTGATTTGGCGATGGTCTTGGCGTTAAAGTTCTATAAATGTCAAATTTTTGGTCCTTATTTAGAAAATTTCATATGTCTCTTATATTATATATATATATATATATATGTGTACAGTTAATCATGATGATTCTCTACAAACTGTTAAGTGCTTCCCTTGTTTCTCTATCACTTCTGTTAAAATCATCTCATTTTTTTCCTCCATTCTCTCTTTTTAGCCATTTGCAACGAAAGTGTTTTAGCTTCCTTTCTTACTCAATTTTTTTTTTTTTTTTACTTGAACATAATATTAAGGGTTTATGTTTTGATATACCTCCTGCTCTACAAACTTACAGATTGCTCATCAACCTAGCATTTATGTGCTTGATACACCAGGAGTACTAGTCCCAAGCATCCCAAATGTAGAGACAGGGTTAAAGCTAGCTTTGGCAGGTACCTTTTTAAATTTTAATCTCTGTACTTTGAAATTTTGTAGTAATCTTTGCTCAAATGGGGGTTCAAATATATGGATTCTGAACATCAATAGTGTGTTTCTTCAGTTTCTTAAATGCTTATGTTGTTTTATGCTTCAGTTTCTTAAACAAAATCTGGAAAGTGCTTTTAGGACAGTTGCTGCTTTTACGCAAGTGGGAAGTTGTTATCATAAGTTGTTTTTCTGCACTATTCTTTCTATACATTGTCAAATCAAATTTTTTAAGTGAGGGACCATCTTGAATATAATCCAATAGTAATTATATTATCAAAATAGTCAAAATTTTAAAGTTTATTGGTTAATATATATAACTATCTATATATATATACACACACACACACACATGAAGAAAATTTTTTAATTTAAAACAAAGAAAGGTCATGTGAAAGATGCAGGATTCAGATTCTTTACATTCACTTGATATGTTGCACAACTATCCAAGTCAACTTTACTCGAGATGCTCTTGTTGCAAGGCCATTTAGATATACAAAATTCTCTTTTTTGTGGATTTTTGTGCTCTTGAAATCATTACAATCATCAAGGATAGATCCAAGATTTATGTTTGATGGGGTCATGCTTAAAAAAAAAAAATCATTTTTCCATTAGAAAACAGAAAAGGTAAATTGGAAAAAAAATTAAGGCATAATATGAAATATTTGTTGAAATATGGAACGTAATTCTCCCAATTTTTGGTGGTGGATCTAAGGCATTTGAACAATCCTATTTATAGGCTCCAAAACTCTTCATGTACATCATTGTATGCATCATCAACTCTTTATAAACATTATTGCATGCATCGCCTTTGGCAAGCTTTTTAAACTTCTTTACTGTCAATTCCAAAAATGTTAAGAATTAGGCTCATATATTTCAACAATCTCCCACTTGGAGACTAATTCATCGACAGTCTCCTCCTGCAGCAGTTGCAATTCCTTAATCGTTAGTAGAGAAGTCCAACTGAAGTTGTACACGACTTTAGTTTCTCAATCATTACAGTATTCCTTAACATTTTTCTGGAGTTTGATTCATGTGAATCTTTTCAAGTGATAAGACTCCATCTCCCAAAGCTGATCTTATGAAGTGATATTGAACCTTTATATGCTTTATCTTAGCATGATAGACAGGATTCTTTGCCAAATGAATGGCACTCTGACTGTGGCAATGCAACACGCTTCTATCAAACTTGTGACCAAGTTCTTCCAAGAAAGACTGCAACCATATCATCTTTTTACTAGCCTTTGTCACGCAACATATTCTACCTTAGTGGTGGAAGTGCAACTATATTTTGCAACTTTGCAACCCATCTTATTGTTGCACCACCCAGCGTGTAAACATAACTGGTAGTACTCTTTATGTTGTCTAGATCATCAGCCATATCGGCATCAACATAACTGTGCAATATCTTGGGTTTCATTTTTTGAAGCACAAAGGTAGGTTTTTGTACCTTTTAAGTATTTGAGAATTCACTTAACTGCCTCCCAATGTTGTTTTCTCAAATTACTCATGCATCTGTTCTCAACTCCTACTGCATGTGCTATGTCTGACCTGGTACACACCATGGCATACATAAGATTGGCGATAGAAGAGGCATAAGACACTTTAGCCATTTAGGCCTGTTCTTGCTTCGTTGTGGGCGACTGATCTCTGTACAATTTAAAATGACTAGCTAGAGGAGTGCTCAGAGGTTTTTCTCCATCCATGTTAAATCTACAGTGCGCCTTCTATATATATTCTTCTTGTGATAGCTTAAGGACTTCTCTATCTCTGGTGATTCTTATTCCAAGGATTTGTTTTGCAACACCTAAATCCTTCAATGAAAATTCCTCTGAAAGCTTCTTCTTCAACTTTTTAATTTCTTGTATGTTGGCTTCGGCAATCAACATATCATTGACATATAACAGAAGGATAATGTAAGAGCTATCAAACTTTTTGATATAACAGCAATGATCTGCTTGACATCTCAAAAATCTATTATTGCACATGAAGTTGTCAAACTTCTTATATCATTGTCTGGGAGCTTGTTTCAGACCATTTAGACTCTTCAAAAGCTTACACAACATTTTCTCTTTTCCTTGGACCTCAAAACCTTGTGATTGCTATATGTAGATCTCTTCTTCTAGGTCATCATGAAGAAAAAAGATTTTACATTCATCTTTTCTAAGTGCAGATTTCTTTTGCCAGTAGTCTAAGAACAGTTCTGATTGTGGTCAATTTAACCACTGGAGAGAAAATCTTGGTGTAATCAATGCCTTCCTTTTGTTGAAAGCCTTTTACCACCAGCCTTGCTTTATATTGCTTACTGCCATCATGTTCTTTTATTTGGTAAACCCATTTATTCTGCAATGCTTTCTTTGCTTCGGGTAGCTCTACTAACTGCCACCGTTGGTTCGACATCAATGAATCCATTTCAATTTCATGGCTAGCTCCCACTTGACCGAATCATTAACTTTATCGCTTCTTCATAACATTGTGGTTCATCTCTATCAGTTAAAAGAATGTAATTCAATGAGGGAGAAAATCTCTGTAGAGGCCTGGTTATCTTTGAAGATCTTCTGAGTTCAGTTACTGAAGTTGATTGATTGACATTTGGGACTATATTTTCTGGATCTTCTGCAGGTGTGTCGACTTGAGTGTCTCAAGCCTGTTGTTGTAAATCATTCATTGGAAAGTCTTTTAAGTGAATTACCTCAAGCTTTCTTATTTCAGAATTTGTATTTTTTGAAATCTTGCTTAGCCTGTTGTTATACAGAATCTGTTCATTGAAGATCACATCTCTACTCCTGATAAGTTTTTGATTTTGATCATCCTAAAAACGATAACCAAACTTAGTGTCTCTGTAGCTGATGAAATAGCATTTCTTAGATTTTGGATCAAGTTTACTTTTGGTAGCATTATCAATATGAACATAGGCGAGACATCCAAACACTCTTAAAAAGAGAGTTGAACCTTTTTGCCACTCCAAATCTCTTTCAGTATTCTGCAATCCAAAGTTACTAAAGGACCTTTGTTGATTTAGAAAGCAGCAGTGCTGATTGCATTTGCCTAGAATGCTTTAGGTAGTCCCATTTGAATTCTCATACACTTTGCAAACATTTAGAGTTCTATTCATCTTTTTGGCTATGCCATTCTGTTGAGGTATCCCTAAAACAGTTTAACATCTTGATCCCATTCTCGGCACAATAACATCTAAAATTACTATCGAAGTATTCTCCCTCATTGTTAGATTCAAACACTTTACTTTTAAATATGTTTCATTCTTAACCTTTGATTTCCACCTTTTGAATGCATCGGACACGTTAAATTTATTCTTTAGAAAATAAACTCAAACTTTCCCGGTTGAGTCATTAATGAATGTCACATAGTAGCTAGATCCTCCAAGAGAAGTAACATGTGAAGGCCCCCATATGTTAGAATGAACCAGCTTTAATTTTTTCTATTTCAACTCCCTTCCAGCTTTTGAGAAGTTAACTCTTTTTTGTTTTCCAAAAATGCAACTTTCACATAGTTTATGTTTAATGGATTTTAATCCAATGAGTTTTCCATTTGATGCGAGTATCTTCATTCCCTTCGTGCTCATATGCCTGAGCCCGCAATGTCACAAGTAAGAGTTTACATCGGCATCAATTGCTGCAATTGTATCTCTACAACTTGAGGTCTTTAGAGTGTCCTTGTTTTGCTTCCTTGAGCAACAACAATGGAACCTTTAGTGACTTTACATGTACCGTCTATGAAAGGTTATATTGTGTCTTTCATCATCAACCTACCTTACTAAAATCAGATTGCGCACTAGTTTTGCTACATGCCTCACTTTTTGAGTCTTCCACGTAGAGTCGTTTAGCATCTTCAAACGAATGTCACCCATACCAACAATATCCAAAGGTTCTTTGTTAGCTAGATAAACCTTTCCAAAATTTCCAACAACATAATTTTTCCTCATGTCATGGTGAGCAGTGATATGGAAAGATGCTCCAAAGTCTAAAACCCAAGAGTCAACTGGCTTATAATAGACAAGAGTAGCACATCATTCATCTCTTCAGTGATAGCATTTGCAACATCTCCTTTGTTTTCTTCCTTACTTTTTGGGGCCCAACATTGTTTCTGTGTGGTTCATTTTTCCATAGTGCCAACACTCCATATTCCATCAAATTTTGGAATTACTTCTTTGTTTTTGGACTTGTAAATTCCCCTGTTTTGATTAGAATTTCTGTTATTTGCTTGCCTATATTCTCGAGATTTAAGGCGAAACCTAATGTCGTTGCTTCTTCAGAGTCATTTCTACGAATTTCTTTAGCAAAAATTCAATCTCTGACGTCATTGAATTTTAATTTTGCATTACCAGTAGAATTACTAATCGTTGCCCTCATGGCTCTTAGCTGTTTGGTAAGGATGCCAAAAAAGTTAGGGCACGAATATCATCAGCAAAATCAATTTCAATGAAAGTCAATTGACTAACAATTGTGTTGAACTCATTGAGATGCAATGCCACTAAAGCACCTTTAGCCATCTTCAAAAGAAACAGTTTCTTCATGAGAAAAACCTTATTATTTACAGTAGGTTTTTCATACATATTGGAGGGCACCTTCATCAAATCTGCAGTCAATGTCTCTTTGGCTACATTGTGAGCTATGTTTTTTTGACAGTGTTAGTTGGATGACTCCTAAAACTTGTCTGTCAAGGAGCTTCTAGTCTTAATCTAACATATTTTTTGGTTCTGTACCTAGAAGTGGTAAATGCAGTTTTTTACCAAATAGATAATATTTCATTTTCATTCTCTAGAAAAAATAGTTCATTCCATCAAATTTGTTGATTTCATGTGCTATACCTTATTCGCTAGCCATCGCTTTCAAACACAAAACTATGGATTGTAAAGTATATGAAATATAGTACCATGTGAATAATACTCCCACTAGGTATGTTTTCATAAAAGATTGGAGGGGTAACAATTGGTCCCGTTTAAAACTCA